TAAGAAGTGAATTACCTGACCCTCTTGTGGAAGAGGGTATTTATAGAGAGACCCCAGCGCTGGGCCAACAATCACTTGCGTTGGGCTGGATTGCAAGGCCCAACCCAGGTGACTGCTAGGGCTTACGTGGCGTAGTGAAGACTAGGACGTGGTCTTCGCCCTAGTCCAACTGTCCCTTGATCTCCGGAAAGTGGGTTTGACCTGCTCTTTCGAAGGTGGGCAGTTGGTTGATGACGTGTCCCCGTGGAGGGGAGCACGTGGAGAACGTGCGCACGGCGCGTTGCTCTCCCCGCGGACGGGAGCTCGGGAGGTTCCCCGGAGGTGTGTTGTTCTCCCCGCGGAAGGGAGCACACGTGGGCGTGGGAGAGCCATGGGTTCTTGCTCGGCGGCATGGGGAATACCGCCCGCGGTGGGCGTGCTTGGTCGTGCGGGCGATTCGCTTGCCCGACATGGTTGGGACGGTTCTTCCTCGCGGAGAGATCTTTCTAGCGGGTCGGGGTCTTGTGCCCGACGTGGTACCAGACTGGGTAGGCCTGGTGGAATATTATTATTATTATTATTATTATTATTATTATTATTATTATTATTATTATTATTATTATTATTATTATTATTATTATTATTAATTATTATTATTATTCTTATTATTATGATTATTATTATTATGATTATTATTATTATGATTATTATTATTATGATTATTATGATTATTATGATTATGATTATTATGATTATTATTATTATGATTATTATTATTATTATTATTATGATGATTATTATTATGATTATTATTATTATTATGATGATTATTATTATGATTATTATGATTATTATTATTATTATTATGATTATTATTATTATTATGATTACTATTATGATTATGATTATTATTATTATTATTATTATTATTATTATTATTATTATTATTATTATTATTATTATTATTATTATTATTATGATGATGATTATTATTATTATTATTATTATTATTATTATGATGATGATTATTATTATTATGATTACTATTATTATTATTATTATTATTATTATTATTATTATTATTGTTGTTGTTGTTGTTGTTGTTGTTGTTGTTGTTATTGTTATTATTATTATTATTATTATTGTTGTTGTTATTGTTATTGTTATTATTGTTGTTATTATTATTATTGTTATTATTGTTATTGTTATTATTATTATTATTATTATTGTTATTATTGTTATTGTTATTATTATTATTATTATTATTATTGTTATTATTATTATTATTATTATTATTATTATTATTATCTCTATTTATAGAATAATTTATTTATAGAATAATCATGAGAGTTTAAAGGTGATGCAATGATTATGTAAAAAAGTTTTACACTGTCATCCAATAAAAGTATATCATTTTGTCATGTTATATAATTAGTTTAAAATTTTAAGTCTGACTTGACATGATGCATGACCGTCATTGGTTGACCGTATAAAAAAAATTTATATTGTCAATGTGTTTACGCTAAAAATTGGTAAATAATCCTTGATCTCTTAATTAAATGTTACTTGTAGGATCAACCACTGAATCTTAAGACATAGTGGCAAGTAAAACCTTGTTTTTTATTCTCTATTGCAAAAACAAAATCTATTTTCGACTTAGTCAAAAATAGAGATTCTATGTAACTAAGAAAATGTCAACTTTGACTACTTTAAAAAATACAAAAGATAAAGATTGAAAATGTAGAGTGACATGACTTAAATGAAATTGGAAGTAAATCAATATGGCGAAGTAAAAGTAACATGAAAGTAATTTTAAAGACTTTGTGATCTAACCTTTAGATCAGAACGTGACCGGTAATACTCCTGCAGCAGCAACGGTCAACAAGAGCAAGGGGGTGTACCTACAGACACTCTGATGCTTAAGTCAGTCGGGTGAAAAGGTAGCAAGAGAGAGTAGAGAATAGAATATGATAGAATACCTAACCCTTCTGCAGATGAGGGTATTTATAGAGAGCCCCCAACGTCGGGCCAACGATCTCTGTTGTCGGCTGAGTGTCCAGGCCCACAACGAATGACTGTCAGGATTTTTACATGGAGGTAAGGATGAGTAGCTCGTGCTCATCGTCCTGGATCAACTGCTCTGCGTTCCCCGGGTGATGGGTGGACTTGCCTGTTATGAAGGGCAGAAGGGTTCATGAGGTGTGCAAACCAAGCTGATGACGTGTCTTCGGGTGAGGAGCATGTGGGAAGTGTGTCTTTTACTGGCCCCTAACAAATTAAGCCAACCTTCTAAGTCGTCCTCGACGTAACACTGAATTGGACCGTGTTCGACGTTGGGTCAGCCATAAGCCCACTCCAAAACTGCAGCCCCCCAAGTCGTAGCCCCTAGGCATGGGGTCAATGACTTAGTCAGTCCATGTGACGAGGAGGGGAACTTAACTCTGCGCGAGGAGAGCCCTCGTTAGGGATCCGTGATTGCGTCACTCGTTAAATTTTGCTTCCAATGAGGTATGTCACGCAGGATTCAAGGTCGAGGACTTGACATGCGCTCACATTGAGCGTAAGATTTCTGCTTGTGAGCTGTCAGGCTGCTCGTGAATTTGCTTCAAACTTTTGCCAATGTTATGCTCGCGAATGAACGCGAAGGTTCGTCTCCTGTGGCTGATGAGAGGTGTTTGACATCTTGGAGTCCGGAAGGTTGAGGGGACTTGAAAGAACAAATGTGTCATCTTCTCGGGCCTCGTGATGAGACTCGAGGAGACAAATCGTTTCGCCTCCTTGAGCCACATGTCAGAGTCATTAAATGCCTATGATGGCCTATGATTAGAGGTACTCAAGAGATAGGCGACAACACGTTTATCCATGTCAGAGATTATAAATAGGGAGAAGCGGGGCTCATTTGTTCATTTCGCTCTCACTTTCCTCTCAACTTTATTTCTATCCTTAGAGTGTCTCTCCGCCGTCCTTCCTCATTGCCGCCATCGTCACCAACTTTCTTCGAATCAATTTCAACCACTCTTCAAGTCAAGTAAGCATCCTTCATTTAATCTTCAATTTGTATGCTAGTTTTAGAACGTAGCTTAGTCATAGAATGTAGGTTGTTTTGGGATGATGCGTGTTGGGTTCCGGCGGATGTTGGTGTTTAGTGGTGGCTTGGCAATTTTCCAAACATTGGCGGTAGGAGAGCATTAGGCTAGAAATTTAGATTTTAAGTAGGAAATCACCCTAGCGCCACCGTTAAGGCGGTGGGTATGAGTTGCACCGGTGGAGCTTAAGTTTTTCGATGAAGTTCTTGTGTCTAGAAGGGTCTTCCTTGCGAAGCTTGTGAGTTTCTATTGAAGTTCTTGTGCCGGGGAGGCCCTTCCACGTGAGGCTCATGAGTTTGCGATGAATATCCCTGTATTTTCGATGAATTCTCGTGTCGGGGAGGCTCCTCCTCGTGGGGGTCATATATTTATGATGAATTCTCTTGTTGAGGAGGATTCTCGTCGTGGTATTGTTGAGTGGTCGACTAAGACCTCTGCTAAGGAAAAGATCCTCGTGACTTCCTCGCTCGCCGTTGATTAAGGGCTTTGGTTGAGGGCAGCATGCTCTTTCTTACATTCACCCTTTCACATGATTTACAGTGGAAGGGTGAATTTGATTTGATCGTCGAATTCACTATTTTCCTCTACATTTAAAGTTTCTATGGCTCGCGGCGCATAAAGTCATGAGATGGTTGACACCATCACCAATATTAACCTGGCTGAGGTTGGGATGGAGCCCCGAGGGATAGCCTTGTGCTTCGCAGATTTTTCAGAGAGCGCGTTCATCATTGTTGAGGAGAAAGGGTGTGTCAAGGGAGCTCTGAAGAATTGGTTGGTCTACAAGCCTAGAAAGGACGAGCGGATCTGCTCGGCTTTCCCATGGAATCACTTTTCCATGTACGAATACACGTTTAAAGAGCTGGGGCTTTGACTTTCGTTCAACGGCTCACAACTGGGAGTTCTTGACAGAATGGAGCTAGCACCCTCACAGTTGCACTCGAACTTGATCACCTTTATTTGGGCCTTCGAGATTGTGTGCGACTATCTCGAAATTGGGGCTACCCTTCCTTTGTTCTTCCGCTGCTTCCACCTCCAACGACAGTCCGTGAATGGGAGGCACAACTGGGTGTCCCTCAAGCAGCCAAAGAAGTTGTTCAAGGCGTTCACGGATTTCGTCCGCTCATTTAAAGACATGTATTATATGATAAAGCTCGCGTCTCTGGCAGCTATCGACTCTATGTTCGACTGGAACTCAATCGACCAACCTTTCACACGAGGAGCTGGAATCATTGAAAGTACAACGACCATTGGAGTACCTGAAGGCCATGCTCAGTTCCCAATACAGCTCTGGCGATAAAAGCACCGACATTTCGACCGCCTCTGGGAATCTTCTGACTGGGAAAACTGACAGTGATTTGCTAATGCAGATAAAAGAAAAAATATTTGCAGTGGACTTGTTCCAAATCTTAGAACATGATGTTTCTGTAAGTTTTGGACTTAAGAAACTTCTAAAGCAAATAAATGTTTTGGAAGTTTCACCCGAAGTTGCTGATATTGTTATAGAACTGAGTACGCTAATCGATCTTGTTGCTGCTGATTTAAACCGCCTCAGAGACTTTTCGAGCAACCTCACCACCAAAACTGGCAATCAAAAAGCTGCATGGGAGGCTGTCTCTGCGTCTACTAAAAAATTTTTGACTCTCGAAAAACTTTCTGAGCAGAACAAGAAGGAAGTAAAAAAATGTGACAAGAACATTGCAAAATGGGAGAGGCAAATTATCATTTTGCAAAACAAAATCTCTCAAGGCAAGCAACGCAAGACCAACCTTCTCAATTCTGTCAAAGACGAGGTGGCGAAATAGATCCAGGATGGACTTCAACATCTTGAAAAAGCTCATCAGCTTGGGAAAGAGATTGAAGAACAACCAACTCACAGGACCGTTACCAACGTCTATATCGTCATCTCTCCGTTATCTATCGTTATCATAGAACCGAATGTGGGGTCCACTTACCAACGGATTAGAGTCGCTTTCAGAGTTAGAATTTCTCGACCTCAGCACGAACCAATTCATTGGGCCTATTCCAGCCCAACTCTTCTTCAGGCCCACGCTCTCTTCACTCTTCCTACAACGGAACAATCTCTCTTGTGGGCTTCCTCAGAGGCCCAACGATGGAGAACCGTCGATCGGATCCTCATCATATGGTCAAGGATTCATAGTAGATCTGAGTCATATCTCACTTACTGGACAATTATCCACTGTGTTTGATGGAGTTGAAAGTTTATTTTTAAATAATAACCGTTTGATGGGGAGAGTGCCTGAGGAGTACGTTAACAACGTGTGCCGGGGAAGCACCAGAACACTGTACCTTCAGCATAACTACTTCACAGGTATACCATTGGAGAAAGGAACGGTGATGCCTGATACGGCGTCGTTGTGCTTGTCGTACAACTGCATGAAGCCGCCGGCGTCGCTGATGACGTGTCCGGCAAGTGCAGGTGAAGAATTATCTAGACCAGCATCACAATGTTCTGTGTTTAACAATAGCGACCGTGATTAACTGTATTATACCGAGGCTATTGATATTGGAGGTTTAAGTACATTTCAATTTTCTTTTCTTTTTTGTTATAGCATAAAGTGTATTTTGGTGTAGAGAAACCTTGGGATATTAGATGAATAATATTGAAATGAAACAGTTTCTATTACGATAACTTTTACAAAATCATAGCCTAGTAATTCAATATGCACTACGTAATATAGCAATACAAAACGTAAATACATGCCACAACTAATTGAAAAAGGTCTCCTGCAAATTTTAGTGCCAATAAACTTTCTTCCTATATTTCCAGCAAATTATGAATGTACTCTGTCTGACTGTCTCCAACCTAATAAAACAACCACAGAAGATGTTAATATTATCTATCAAGTGGCTCTACAAATTTAGTTGTAATTTTTTATAGTTATGTACTGTCTTAAATTTAAGTGCAAAGTAGATAAGCTCAAATAAGTAAATCTAACAAAGAACTCAACTTTCACTTACCTCAGCGGGAAGACCCCAAAACATGATTAAGGAACCGAAAATAAGTGTGCCTCCAAGCCCTGTTGAGGTATAGTGAACCCCAAATACTCCATAAACCAACGGCAAATCCCACACCCATTCCAAAGTAGAGTGATTGAGTAAAAGAATTATCCTTGTCAATATCATTGTGTTCTCCATGTGGGTTTGACTCGTTGGAACATATTCGTAGAGGAGCTCCACAGAGTCGAGGATTCCCATCATAGCAAGAAGCAACAAAACTTTGAAGTTGAGTGCCAACTGGGATTTGTCCAACAAGGTTATTGTTTGACAGATTCAAGAAGCTCAAGAAAGATAAAATTGAAATGGTAGCAGGAATTTCTCCAATAAGTTCATTGTTGGACAGATCAAGAGATTCCAAGTTTTTCATGTCTCCAACCTCTTTTGCTATCTTTCCTGTGAAATGATTTCGAGACAAGTTCAATGTATGGAGTTGAACTAGACTGAAAACTTGTGTGGGAATTTCACCTGATAACTGGTTATCTGAAAGGTCAAGAGTTCTCGCCAATCCATAGTCACGATACTCTAACTCTTGCCCTTTATTATACAAATGGAACCCAAATGGATAATGACTTGTTTTCTTTGCTCCGCCCATGCCAGTGATTTTATTTATGCATTTGGGAATAGGCCCTGAAAGCTTATTGTGTGAAAGATCCAATAGTATCAGTGAAGAGATATTGCACAGCTCTGGTGGAACGTTACCTTCAAACTCGTTGGATCTTAATATCATCACTTCCATACCATGTGGCATCACCGGTACAGTGCCAGAGAAATTGTTTTCTCCAATATGAATGAATTCCAAATTTGTTAAGTTTGAAAGATCCAATGAAAAATTACCAGACAAGCTGTTGTTATGCAAATCCAATGTTATGAGATCAATAAAGGAGTCCATGGATGGAGGAAGTTCACCAGTCAGCATATTACTCTCCATGTAAAGGAAAGATAAGCCCTTCCAATACTCCCAACAATCGGGAATATTTCCAGTTAAAAGATTGGACGAAATGTCCAAATAATCCAAACTGTTTTCCCTACCGATTTTGTGGCAGAACAGAGGGGAAACGGATCCTGCCAAAGAATTTTGATGCAAATCCAAAAGGACAACATTTTCTGTTATATGCGGGAGCCTTCCTCTAAAATTATTATTGTCCATAAATATGAGTTCTGAGTTTAGCGTGACATTTGATAAATCTGCATCGATGTCATTGTATGACAGGTTAAGCTGTGTAATATTAGCTACAAATCTCCAAAATGTGTCTCCGTCTATGGATGATAATCTAGAGTTAGCAACCTCGAGATATTGTAGTGACTTTTGTGTGTATATCCATGCTGGAAACTTAGGACCTAGAATTGTATTGCTTAAACTTATCCCTTGCAATTGAAATGGAGGAATCCATTTAGAATCTATATCAAATGAAATAGGTGCACTCAAGACAAGTGTTTCTAAGTTAGACAGATTGGAGAAATGTTTTTCAGATAGAACACCTGACAATGAGTTTCCACCAATGAACAAACTCTTCAAATTAAAGAGTTTTCCAATGGTGGGTGGAATATTACCGGTCAGAAAATTGGAGCCGACACTTAAATCAACCAAGGAAGAGAGATTTCCAAGAGATGGAGGGATAGAACCGTGAAACAAGTTCTCGGCTAGATTAAGATATTTTAAATTTTGATGTTGCCCTAACCAATCTGGAATAGATCCATTTAGTTCATTGTTACTCAGCCTTAAAAATTCAAGTTTTCTAAGACCTAACAAGCTCTTGGGTATTTGGCCTTGTAACATATTGAAGCTAAGGTCAATATGGGAGATCTTTGTATCACTGCCGAGATCAAACAGCCAGGCAGGTAATTCAGAATCAAAATTGTTTGCTGAGAGATCAAGGGTTACAAGGGATTTAGTAAAACTCACATGCTTAATGGATGGAAAGATATTGGTCAAATAACAACTTGACAATCTCAGCTCTAACAGTGATCCATGCAGCATATCCATGGTGTGAAACCAGTTTGATTGATTTTGAAGGTTAATTTGACTGAGGTTGAGAGATTTCAATGAAGAGAATTTGGAAAGCCAGTTAAGGTTATCCAAGTGAAGATCATCATTGAAGGATAAGTCTAGGTACTGAATATTAGACAAGTTGTGATTATTATCATCTGAATCATCGAAACTACTTAGAGTTGTAAAGCCATTCAAGCTCAAGTCCAAGTAGTTCAAAGATTGAATTTGAAACAAAGAGTGCAAGTTGATTTCACCTTCCAAGTATTGTTGGTGAAGATCAAGTGATGTAACACTTCCAGTGGTGTTGTCACATTGAACTCCTTTCCATGAACAACAGTCTTTTTCATTGATGGACCAAGAGGAAAGCCTGTTGGAGGAAGGACTGTCCACACCATGTTTGAAGTTGAGCAATGCAGAACGATCCTTCTCATTACAATTACCAAACTGCGTACTATTGCACCTTTCAAATATTGTTGTAGATAGCAGCAATAGTAGCAGAAGCCAAATAATGGGAATTTGTTGTGAAGTGAAGCTTAACATGGTTGATTAATATTAGTTTGGAGTGTTATGAACCAATGTGCGTGGTGGGATTTTATAGCTTAAGATTGTTATTGATGTTCACTATTACTACTCTCTAATCTATCTATTCACCCAACCATATGGACGTTCAATGTACGTCTCATAATATTCAACACTGGTTCATGGGTCCCGTTAGAGAAAATGTTGCGATAGTGCGAAGAGACTAAAATTGTTGCCATGCCAGGAAAAAATATTTAGTCTTTATTAAGTACTATTAACATTAAAAAAGTTACTTCTTTGTTTCAAATTATTTAAAGTGTAACTATTGTATGAACTTTTTATCAACAATGGTGATGCATGCCATTGATGGAGATGAAAATAACCGAAAGATAATAGAATGTAACAGAATGTGCAGAGAAGAAAAAATAGATTAAAGGTACTGTTTCATTGATTAAGAAATGTGTACATGAGGTAAGGATATATATACAACTCAAGAGTAAATAACAGTCATTGGATGAACAAGAAATATATATGTTAAGTACACTAAACTAGTATATAAGCTAATATCCCCTCTCAAATTGGAATATGGATGCTGCATAGACCCAACTTGGATAAAATAGAAGTCAAGGCTGGAGAATGCAATAGCTTGGTAAACATGTCTGCAAGCTGATCTGTGGTGGAAATGGGCAAAAGATGAAGGAGTTTAAATTGAATCTTCTCGCAGATGACATGACAGTCAAGTTCTATATGCTTGCTGCGTTCGTGGAAGGCAGGATTATGAGCTAAGTATATAGACGACTTACTATCATAATAAACAGATGCAGGTTGAGACATATTGATGGTGAGATCTTTGAACAGATATTGAAGCCATTGAAGTTCACAAGTTAAGGATGCTAAAGCCCTGTATTCAGCCTCAGTAGAGGATCTGGAAACTGTGTTTTGCTTCTTTGACTTCCAACAAAGAAGAAATGTTCCAAGGAGCACACAAAAGCCAGTGGTAGATTTGTGAGTATCTGGACATCGTGCCCAGTCTGAGTCAGCAAAACCATAGAGTTTAAGCTCACTGGTGGAAGAAAATAGGATGCCTTTTGCAGGAAAAAGCTTGAGGTACCTAAGGACTTTGATTGCAGCCTGATAGTGTGGAAGTAGAGGATTGGAAACAAATTGACTTAGCTGTTGAACAACATAAGAGATATCTGGTCTGGTATTGGTGAGATAAATCAATTTTCCAATTAACTTGCGATAAGACGAGGGATCCTGCAAAGCTTGACCAATAGAAGTAGATAGTTTCAGGTTGGGATCAAAAGGCACTGAGGAAGGTTTGCAAGCAAGTAGGCCTGTTTCTTCCAACAACTCCAGAGCATATTTCCTCTGATTCAAAAAAATGCCTTTGTTTGATCTGGCAATTTCAAAGCCTAAAAAGAAATGTAGCTGACCAAGATCCTTGATTTTAAATTGCTGATCAAGAACACCCTTGACAAGCTGAATTTCCTGATGAGAATTCCCTGCAAGAACTATGTCATCAGCATAAACAAGTAATGCAGTGAAACTATCTTTGGTCACCTTTGTGTACAAGGAATGGTCTGCCTGGGACTGAGAATAACCCAAAGAAAGGAGAAAATTGGACAGTTTGGAATACCACTGTCGACTTGCTTGCTTTAAACCATATAAGGACTTTTGCAACTTGCATACCTGATTAGAACTGGAAACATAAAGGTCAGGTGGAACAGACATATATACCTCCTCATTCAAGTCACCATGCAAAAAAGCATTATTCACATCCAATTGCTCCAAGTACCAACCCTTAATGGCAGCAATGGATAGAAGAACACGAACTGTGGTGATCTTAGCAATTGGAGAAAATGTGTCAAAGTAATCAACCCCTTCAAGTTGAGTGTAACCCTTTGCAACAAGTTGAGCTTTATACCTTTCAATGGAGCCATTAGCCTTATATTTAATCTTGTATACCCAT